ATAAGTTAATGTGTCATAAACTTTCAATGAGTCAATGTGAGTCATGTAGAGGTGACGCCTCCCTCAGGTTCATCATGTCACTGCGTCTAATACAGGGTTTTCCCATCAGTCATTCAACAACATGAGAACAAACAGGAAGTCAGGGAGTTTCTGCTGCTAAAGGTCACGTGACCACGCAGACACCGCGTCCTCGACTGAGTTTATGTAAATGAATTAGTCGGTTAAATGAAGAGAAAAGAAAAAGCAGGTTGATGTGAAACTGAAAAAACGAGTCAAACAGACGTGACGCAGCGTCACGACCACGGAGACGAAGATTAATCCGAGGTTCGACACAACAGTCAATATTTATAATATAAATAATGTTTTGAATCAATGTTACATAAACAGAACAAATGAGTCAACAGAAATAAAACTGATCTGAAATGAGTTAATTTATCAGAAACAATTTGTTTGAAAGATCTTAAATATTTGACTTCACGTAGTTAAACATGTTGTGAATAATGATTAAATATGATTTGTTGTTACCAGCTCGTGTGCAGATTACTTTTTAATCTCTACAGCCGTGTGACCTTCACTGACTGTCGGACGTTACATGGTTAAGTTAAAGTAAAGTTTTACGTAGGTTTTGATTTACAGCCCCACCTAGAGGCAGAAAGTAAATAACTTAAACTTAAACCTCCTTTATTTATCCCACAAGGGGAAATTCTTTTTACGCTCATTTTACACTTTTTACACATTCAGACCCACAAGCCCACACACACAGAGGGCTCAACGACTGGAGACAGATTGTAGAGTATAAAACTTTAAGAGAAATCAGACGTTTGTGCAGATGACACAGGGACACTGCCATGTGCAAAGTAAAAACATGTTTCCTGTGTGTCTTTGTTTGTGTTTTTGTGTTTTGTGCGTGTTACCAGAGGGGTTTTCGTTTCCGTTATGAGTGCGAGGGTCCGTCCCATGGCGGGTTACCGGGGGCATCCAGTGAGAAGAACAGGAGAACATACCCGACGGTGAAGGTGGGGAACATGGACGACCATGGAAACCTTGTGATGACGTCCCTCACACACAGAATTCCTTTCTGCTAAAACACGACACCTGAGGACCGGACGTTTGATTTTGACGTCAGTATTTTCCGTGTGTCTCAGATCAATAACTACGTGGGTCACGCCCGGGTTGAGGTTCAGCTGGTGACGCACACAGATCCCCCTCGAGTCCACGCCCACAGTCTGGTGGGTCGCCACTGCACCGAGAAGGGAACCTGTACGCTGGACGTGGGCCCCAACGACCTCACCGCCTCGTCAGTAACCAATGACGTCACAGAAATGTTTCTGTTCCGAACGTTCAGTGAGTTAATGAGCTGTGATGTCACTTCCTGTAGGTTCAGCAACCTTGGAATTCTTCATGTAACCAAGAAAGGTGTCGTTGAGATTCTGTGCAAGAGACTGAGAGACGAGAG